GCAGTTTGCTTTTGCCTGAATCTATAAGGAAAACCAAGATTTTGCCTCCTCATATCCTCTCCCTCTGCTCAGTTAACTGACTACAAACTACTTTGGCACATTGAACTCAGTTTGCAGCAACAGACGTAAGACTGGAGCAAAGTGGGAGGAAAAGAGAGAAACTGGTACATTTTAAAAGCAGATGAAAACCTGGACTGACAAAGGATTAATTGGGATTGTCCCTTGCAAATTGGGATAACTGGAGGGTATGCCAGCATGCTGCCGGAGGATTAACAGACCAGAAAATAGGCTGATAAAATAAGTGGGGGGAAATATTGGAGAAATGGCCCTAGGAGGGTGCACAAGTGTTTTTCTGAACTCCAGGGACTTCTCACATACATCCTATTGGGTTTTTATTTTTTATCTTTGGGAAGTTTTGTTTTTTTTTTTTTTGGTTTGTTTTCCACCTCTTTGTCATCATTATGGTTTCTCTCTTTTTACACCACAAGCTATAATTTCAAAGTCATAACAGCATTTTGCACTTTCATTTTATGGCGCAACTGTTCTGTTTCATTGTCTCTGGGGGACACATTGGGTATTTGGGAGCCCTCACCATATTTTGGAAGAGTTCAACCTTTACATAGGATAGGATGGCAACTTTGCTGAACCTTTCAGAGCGAATCATTAGCCTTAGTATATAATAATAATAATAATAATAATAATAATTTATATCCCCCTTTAGCCTTGGTCATCAAGGTGGCTTACATATAAAATCAGATACATAAAATAACCCTTACAATAATAGAACAATGTAAAACTAACACAATTTACCCCCATTAAAATACATTAAATACCGTCACAGTTAAAACTAGAAATTAAACAATAGACTAATAATAATCATTTGTTTATAAGCAGATGAAAGCCTTGCTAACTGTACCTCCTTTCCTTTATAGTAGCACAATAACACAATTTAATCATGCACAGAATGCCAACTGGAAATACAGCCATATCTCAGTTTAGACAGCCTCTGACAAAGAAGTCCTTTTTTCCCAAAGTATTTTGAGGCCAGCCCAGCCCAGCCCCCTTTTTTTTCTTATCCTCCTCTGTCTAGCTGGAGGCTTTTTAGCAGCATTGACATTGGGAACATGATGGAAGGCTGGATAAAGAAACCACTGGTGGTGCAGTGGTTAAATGTCAGGACTGCAGCCACAAAAGTTCTGAATTTGATCCCAGGGCTCCAAGGTTGACTCAGCCTTCCATCCTTTTGTAGGTCAGTAGAATGATTACCCAGCTTTTGGGGGGCAATTGGCTTACAGATTGTAAACCGCTTAGAGCAGGGGTCGGCAACCTTTTTTTGCCGGGGGCTGTGGGGGGGGGGAAATGGCGCCGGGGCCGGCGCACGTGCACTTGCCCCCACGTATGCATGAACACGACAGCTACCGTTGTGAGTGCGCACGTGCGTGCATAGGGGCACCGTTTTGGAACGCTCAACAGCAGCGGCATTGTGCGCATACGCACGATGCTGCCGCCGTTGGGTGTTCCAAAAAGGTGCGTGATATTGTGCATGCGCACGCAAGCGTAGTCACCATTTTGGACACCAAAATGGCATCCGAGCTCGCTTGCGGTGTGGCAGCGGCAGCAGGACCGGCCACAGGCCAGTCCCAAGGCCTCCGCAGGCCGCACCCAGCTCGCTGGCCATAGGTTGCCAACCCCTACCTTAGAGAGTGCTGAGTTCACTATTAAGCAGTATAAAAATGTAAATGCTATTGTTATTGCTATATTTATACCTAGAATATAGCCCCAAGTGATGGGCTATTTTGCCAGACACCTGAGAGACGAAGCAGATGGCTGGGAAGGAGCATCTTTCTATCCAGGAGGATTTCCAGCACCCCCTCCATTTTGAGCATAACACCACATTTGTTGCTCCCCTTTGAGAAATTTTGTCTACTTGACAGCCTGTCCTCATTGCAAATCAAGGGATAGGATCCTTGTTATTTTCAAAGTTATTTTTTCCTAGGAGCAGCAGCAGCAGCAGACAAGACTCAAGAGTGTTTGTTTCTTGGAGGGAAAAAGGACAGCAAACACATTAGGCAATGGGTACCGTGAAGACACAATGCAAATGTTGAAAGGTCTCTCCCCCCCCCCTTTAATTTCAACAATGGACAAATGAAAGGAACAATTTAAATGTAGATTCAGTCAAGGGTTTGTTCCTAGTAAAGTACAATGTTAAACATTTGTCTTGCTCAGAGCTCTAGTAATGTATTGCAAGCCAACAACAACTCAGAAAAATACAACTGAGTACCTAAGGAAATTCAGTATATATAATATAACTGTACACAAACCATATGAAATGAATACATGTTTATAGTTGTGTTTCTAGCTTATGTTGGGTAACATTTTGCAGTGCCTTGTTCTCCTTTGCATTTATGATATCTGGTCACCCCGCAAATAATCTTGCAAGACTGGTACAGGCAGGTGGTTCCTTTAGAGATATATAAATGTGTGTGTGTGTGTGTGTGTGTGTGTGTGTGTGTGTGTACACACACACACACACACACAATTTTTTCATTACTTGCATCTAATGTTTCACCACTTCTGAATTCAATAGGCATGGAAAGTGGGTGTTCTAAGTGTTTTTTGTGCAATAAAGATTTCCAATTTACCATTCCCATCCTACCCAAGGTGATCAGATGTTCTAACCTCAAAGGAGGACAAGGCACCACAAAATGTAGGGCATTCCAGAAAAATCTAGGACACCCCCTTCCCCAGCTGGAAACACTCATAGAAATGTAAATCCCTCTTTCCTAGCCATGCTCAAAATGGTGGACATTTTGGAATTCCTCCTGGAGAGAGGGCTGAAAATGTAGGACACATCCTGGAAAAGGAGGATGCCTGGTCACCCTGAATTCTACCTGGGTTGTAAACCTGGGGGCAGGGGACTGTCTAATAAACAATTAGAGCATTTCTAAAGAGGGGGGTATAAATACAATTATTATTATTATTATTATTATTATTATTATTATTATGGCTAATGGAGCGAAGGAATCAGACAAGGCTGCATCCTATCACCCTACCTATTCAATGTATATGCAGAAC